CAACATTTTTGGTGCATTGGCCAGGAAAATCAAACTTAAACCCTGGGAGCAGAGAATCCCTGGGAGGAGAGAACCCCTCACAGACTCGGTCCTCTGCAAGGCCCAGTAAAGCTCTGAATATATACTGCATCAGAATGGGACGGTTCATGCAACTTTTGGAGACCGCGTACAGGAAGGATGCAAAAAATTGCAATTGTTTTGTTTTGGGAACTTTTGCACAGGCTGTGACTGCGCTAACAAATGTGAGATGTGAACTGTCTCCCGGCACCATTGACACGAATGTGCACATTCAGTCAGTCTGCTCTGTTCCAAACCAAGTTGGGACCTGACGATTCAGCTGCAAATCATAAGCGCATCTGGCAGGAAGCATTGCTCTTGGAAGTGCTTACCAATTCATCTATGGCACAGGCAACGGCAGTTCCAGGTACCTTTTGCTTCTGCTTAGAACAAGCAACTTGCAGAACTTTCTGGCAACACACACAAGTATCAAAGCAAGGTATTTCAGGTTTTACACACAACATAAAACTACAATTACTACAGTATTTAATGCACACCAGTAGGAAAAGTTCCTAAAAAACACTCATGCAGTTTTTGTGCCATGGGATAGGTAATGGCTATTTCGTAGAAATAGATCCAACTGGCTCCATTGGAGCAGCAGTATAAATATTCAAAATAGAAGTAATAATAGGCCCTGATATCAAACTTCTCTCCTTTTTTCCCTTCCCCTTATCAGCCAGGACACTCTCTGCTTAGGAGCAACTGCATCTCGCTATGAGAGTGGAGCTGCGCATCTGTGGGGTGGCTTTAGCGACACGTGCCACACTGTTGCAAACATCATTTGACTTAAGGAAGTATTTTAGGCATTTTAGTGGTTGTTATTATTATTATTCATCTCATTAACAACAACAACAAAAGAAACAAAAACCCAACAACGGGAAGGTACAGTGGGCTTTCTAACGCAAGAGGACATCCCGCGGGCACAGGTACGAGAAGGCTGCTCAAACCACAGCTGCAGAGCTCAACAAGTAGCAACACAATCGTTCTCTAGAATGAAAAATGGTGAYGCAGGCATGTCATCGACTCTCTCAACTGCCTGTCCCTGGACCCTTCCTTCTTCTTGCCAGGGATCCACCGGCACACGTTGCTCCCCGAGCGAGGCCAATAGGACGTGGCTTTTTCCACAGGACTTCGCTGACATGCACAGTGCAAGAGCTGCCAGTGCCTCCACGTGATTAGTGTAACATACAAAGAAAACCAGGTGCTGAGCTGAAGGGAAACCACAGGGTATAAATATTTTCATTTTCAACATTTTGCTCAAAGAAAATTAACTGAAAAAGTCACTTCCAAAAGTGCAAATGAAACAAAATTGGCTTTTCATCTGTGAACAGAACGTGGCTATCTTCTTTTTTCTTTTAAATTGGAGTT